AGCCAAAGGGGAGTAATGGAACATCTTAATAAGAAATGTCTTGGTACAAAAACTCCCTAAAAACTAATGCACATACCGACCTAGGTTCAGGACCGGGTCGAAATTGACAGCATGAAGGATAGTAAGTAAGCCCCTCTTCCATAAGGTGAGGGGTGGTAACTATGCAACAGAGGGTGGTAACCTGGTACGTAAAGAAATGATGTAAGTTGTTTGTACCTGTCTATAAAAGGACACCGCAAAAGGTGCTCTCCAGCCAGCCTTGGGGGCGCACACTAGGCATCTGAATGGCAGGTGTCATTGCCTAAACTTACAGAATGCACAGTAGCTTAACTTTGACTGACTGCTGTTAATATCTGTTATATGGCAATCAATAGGCCTGCCTGGTGTTGGTACCTTGTCAACGCGGGCCATAGTGCCCAGTGATGTAACATTGTACTGATCTCTGTTACCAACTGGTAGAGCTTCGCATTTGACAATAAACCTGCTCGATTGATTTCAAACCTTGCCTGCATCTGTCGTTTCCGGGGCCTCTCAGAGATCTCTTGTGTTGACCCAAGTGCACGGGGTCTAACACTCTAGATAAAGGGAGTACCGATTGTTACGCACGCAGCCGAAAGTTTAACAACGGAGTAGAGGTCCTGTCAGGAGCGCGCCAGGACAACCCTGACCAGACGACGCTGACACTGACAGTTCAGACCACCGAAGGTACCGAGGTACGAAAACACCGAAGTACGACAGGGGGGAGCCGCCAGGCCCTGCCCCCCTGCCTGGGCCATTGTGAAGGTGCTGGTCTGGGCAGCGTCCCTCCATGAGTCACACCCGGAATCCCCAGCCCCATCTAGAGAGTGGTGCAGTGCCCAGGGAAACTGAGGCACGCACCCCGGATCACCACAGGGCCGTAGAGATCACATGCAACAAAACAAAGCCAGCCAAGTGAGGCCAATCCCCGCTTTGCCACAGCCTGGCACAGCCGCTACAGGCACCGGGGGTGGCCACGCCCCACTCACCGTGGATCTGCTGCACATACGGATGGGCTGGGTCTCGGCTTGGGTCGGAGGGGGAGTCAACTTCGCAGGCCAGACTCAACATGTCCTCAGGCATCTGGTTCAGCATGGGCATCAGGGCCACGCTGATTCGCTTCAGCTTCTTGTTCTCCCTGTTGACCTACCCGCCAGCAGGCCAGAACAGATAGGAGGCCTTTGTACCGAGACAGCGCGTGGGGTGGAGGTGGGGGGCTAGAAACAGAGCGGGGGGATTGCAGGCGGGAGGAGACCAGCTCATCCTGCAACCTGTCTGACAAGGGCAGACACTGCACAGGAAACTTTCTGGTTAGCAGATTGGCGTTAATATCTCCTCTGACCCTGGAACCCGAGGATTTAGCTCCCTTCTGATTCACGTGGTTCTATTTTTCGCATTTATTACATACATCCTCTTTATCCACCTCGCTCGTCTACGCCAGCCTCTTTCTGAAGCTTGCTACACTCCGGACCTCAAGACTATCTTGTGGCAAGGAGTTCCACAGGCCAACCGTGCTTTGTAGGAGAACGTGTTTCCTCCTCTTGTGGACTAGCTGCAATTCAGTGCCAACAAATGTCCCCTTGTCCTCAGGTGCACAGAAGTGCCAGATTCACCGAATCGGTCCCCCTTTGTCCCCTCCCCAGATGTCAGGTGCTGCTTAGATTTTCCCTGCTTGCACTGCCGCGAGTGATAACGACAGCACCGTAACATGCAGCTGGCGGCATCATTCCCCCAAGGAAAAACACCAATGAACCGTAAGAATTCAATTAAAGTCACAAACCTGTCACGTTGGGATTGCCTCATGGGAGCTGTAGTTCGGGTGCCTCATGCTCACATTTTGTTCTACAGGCCAGGCTTCCCGGTCTGACTACATCTCCCATAATGCACCACAATCTCCCCTGCCTGGGCATGGTGCATCCTGGGATATGTAGTCCGGCTGAAGAGCCAGGCTGAGTGACACGCACGAGAGCAGGAGGTGAAGGGCTCCAACCCCCATAAGGCACCACTGCAGCATTTCAAAACACATTTTGTGATGTGTGGGGGGGGGGGGGGTGTTTTTTTACTGAAACACATGCAGCCGAAAGTTTAACAACGGAGTAGAGGTCCTGTCAGGAGCGCGCCAGGACAACCCTGACCAGACGACGCTGACACTGACAGTTCAGACCACCGAAGGTACCGAGGTACGAAAACACCGAAGTACGACAGGGGGGAGCCGCCAGGCCCTGCCCCCCTGCCTGGGCCATTGTGAAGGTGCTGGTCTGGGCAGCGTCCCTCCATGAGTCACACCCGGAATCCCCAGCCCCATCTAGAGAGTGGTGCAGTGCCCAGGGAAACTGAGGCACGCACCCCGGATCACCACAGGGCCGTAGAGATCACATGCAACAAAACAAAGCCAGCCAAGTGAGGCCAATCCCCGCTTTGCCACAGCCTGGCACAGCCGCTACAGGCACCGGGGGTGGCCACGCCCCACTCACCGTGGATCTGCTGCACATACGGATGGGCTGGGTCTCGGCTTGGGTCGGAGGGGGAGTCAACTTCGCAGGCCAGACTCAACATGTCCTCAGGCATCTGGTTCAGCATGGGCATCAGGGCCACGCTGATTCGCTTCAGCTTCTTGTTCTCCCTGTTGACCTACCCGCCAGCAGGCCAGAACAGATAGGAGGCCTTTGTACCGAGACAGCGCGTGGGGTGGAGGTGGGGGGCTAGAAACAGAGCGGGGGGATTGCAGGCGGGAGGAGACCAGCTCATCCTGCAACCTGTCTGACAAGGGCAGACACTGCACAGGAAACTTTCTGGTTAGCAGATTGGCGTTAATATCTCCTCTGACCCTGGAACCCGAGGATTTAGCTCCCTTCTGATTCACGTGGTTCTATTTTTCGCATTTATTACATACATCCTCTTTATCCACCTCGCTCGTCTACGCCAGCCTCTTTCTGAAGCTTGCTACACTCCGGACCTCAAGACTATCTTGTGGCAAGGAGTTCCACAGGCCAACCGTGCTTTGTAGGAGAACGTGTTTCCTCCTCTTGTGGACTAGCTGCAATTCAGTGCCAACAAATGTCCCCTTGTCCTCAGGTGCACAGAAGTGCCAGATTCACCGAATCGGTCCCCCTTTGTCCCCTCCCCAGATGTCAGGTGCTGCTTAGATTTTCCCTGCTTGCACTGCCGCGAGTGATAACGACAGCACCGTAACATGCAGCTGGCGGCATCATTCCCCCAAGGAAAAACACCAATGAACCGTAAGAATTCAATTAAAGTCACAAACCTGTCACGTTGGGATTGCCTCATGGGAGCTGTAGTTCGGGTGCCTCATGCTCACATTTTGTTCTACAGGCCAGGCTTCCCGGTCTGACTACATCTCCCATAATGCACCACAATCTCCCCTGCCTGGGCATGGTGCATCCTGGGATATGTAGTCCGGCTGAAGAGCCAGGCTGAGTGACACGCACGAGAGCAGGAGGTGAAGGGCTCCAACCCCCATAAGGCACCACTGCAGCATTTCAAAACACATTTTGGGAGGTGTGGGGGGGGGGGTGTTGATTTTTCACTGAAACACATTTCACAGGGAAACCCCCGTTTCCCCTCCAAGGCCAGTTTCCCAGCAGCCCCCGCACACGGCCTGGCAGCTCCCTGGACTTACCTGGGCGGCGTAGACCTCGGCTTGTTTGCGGCACGATTTCTCGATTTCGTACTCCGCCTCCAGCGCAGAGAGCTCCGCCAGCAGCTTCTGGGAGGCTGGGAAGGAGAAGGAGGAGGCTGGCTGAGGCTCCACCCCTGCCCAGGGCTACCAACGCAGCGCCCAGCCTGTCTGCGGGGCTCAGTCTGCCACCCTCATCCCGGCAGCCCCGGGCTCTTTCCTGGAATTTGCCCAGGGAGGCCAGAGTTAGTGAAGACACTAAGCAGCCCCAGGCCCGTGACAAAGGCAGGAACCAGCCCAGCCAAGCAGCCCCCGGTGCCACCAAGCCTTCCTGCTCCTTTGGATTCCCCTGCAAAACGAGGGGCAGCCAGACACATCTACGCTAATCGCTTTAGCAAAAGGGCTGCGTGCGGCCGGCTGCCCGTTCCAATCGGCCGCAGCCCATGCCCTCCCCCGACACCGCCACCGCCACGGCCCAGGGATGTCCTGCTGCGGAAGGCTCGGCAGTCTGGATCAGGCCGCCTCCTGGTCGATCACTCTGTCTCCGCCTCTGCCGGCAGCAGCTCTAGGACCCGCTGCGTCCTCTCATGACTCAAGGGTAAGTGTTCCACAGTCCATTCGTCAGGCCGCTTCGCCAGGGATGGATGGGGGGACCCAGGCCTGCCCCCTACTTGGTGTCCCCGCCAACGGCTCAGTACATTGCCCTGGGCCACGTCCCCATGGCCCCAACACCTTCACCCTCACAGCAAGGCCTGAGCAAGTCAGCTCTGGTAGGAGATCCCTCCCATTCCCCCGTTCCTGCCAGCAACTGCTCTGTCCATGGTACTAGGTTCCAGCCACCTGGGAGAAATCCAGCTCTCCCTCTTTGAGCTCCAGGCAGTGACTGACTGACTCCGGACCAGCAGCTTCTTTTATTGGTTGTTCTGTGCTGTTCTTCCCTGATTGGTTGTGCCCAGGATGCTTGGAGGACTCACGTCCACTGCTGACTTCTGGAGTTAACATGGTGTGGGGCAGACACCCCCTCACCATGCCTCACGAAGCGGGTTTATAAGAGTCTTGCCATGGTACCCATGGATTGGCGAGGCAATGGTGGGATCAGAGCACCTAAGGCTGGTTCCGAATGTGACAATGTGTATTTGCAATGGCTGAGATGTTAGCTGTGTTCATGAACAGCTCTGGAGTCGCGTGAAACCTGGGGGGGAAGGAGGATTTCCATGAAGATTTCAAGAAGAGGGAGGCGTAACCAACCAGGAAGGCAGCACTGGAGGCTTGGATGAAAGCTGGGGAAAGAACACGGCACTTTCAGACGTCTTGGCACCAGATCCATACGTGAGCACCAGGCTGCGCTGGGCGTAACGTTCTATCGCTGGCCTGGCTTGCGTCTGGCAAGGAAAAAGCCAGGTGGGCTAATGGAGGGTCCTGCGATGTGCACGTCCGTCCACGGCTCCTCACAAGAACTGGTAGCAAGTGAAGGGTCCCTGGGAAGGCTTAGAGCAGGAAAACGCCTCTCGAGACACGCTGCTGAGTGTGCAAAGGAGACCTGCTGTCTTAGAGCAGCGGTTTGCAAACGACAGGTCGTGCCCCAGTGCTGGGTGGGGGGGGTGTCGGGCGCTGG